ACTAATGTGAAAATGAACAGGATTAATGTGTGGAAAATTAAGGATATGGCTGCACATCTTGGTGTATATGCTGATTTTGTTAACAACGGAAAGCCTTTTGGTGAATATTACTTACCTTCGGAGTGCCGTGGCGAAAGGGGCCGGTAAAGATTATTAATTCTCATTCGCGTTATACTCGCATTTCGTCCCGTTTTCCATTATGTTTTTGTTATATTCTGTACTTTTCCTTTTCTCCTCAGTTTGTTTGGATGGGAGCCCACCTGCATACCATCTTCATAGGGGCTATGGAGAAGGAATTAACAATTGGTTGGTCCAAATTGAGGTTACATATTGTTTATTTTTCTTTTCTTAAATCATGGTTCATAGTTTTATTTATGTCTTCATGAGTGAGTGTGCAGAAAGCATGTGTCTTGTATAGGAGATGAAAATACATTGTCTGTTTTTAGTTTTACTGTAAGCAAATACTATCATAATACGAGTTGATGTTTCTGAATACGATCTCTCTTTTTTTTTTCTTGTTTTTGGATTTTAAGGGAGGGGGCTGGTGTAATAATGTGACTACCTGCTTTGCACGTAAGAACAGCCGTTTGGGTTCCTCGAACAGAATGGTTAACCAGCTGGCATTCTCCGGAATATTGAGCAACAGAGAACGGTTTAATCCCTGTATATATGCTAATAAATCCAGCTCTTTTCTTTTTTTTCCTGGTAATTTAATTTCTGTATGTGTTTTGATTGCCTCGGTATTTTCATTTATGATACTTCCAGATTTCTACAATTGGACCCGAGTCAAAATCCGGTACTGTGATGGTGGGTCGTTTACCGGTGATGTGGAAGAAGTAAATCCTGTAAGTTTATCTCAATAATTAAATTTTTCGGAAAACAAATATTCAATATCTACTCATTTCTTATAAATATATGTTATCAGCGGACGAAACTTCACTATCGAGGAGCAAGGATATTTGATGCTGTCATGGAGGACTTGTTAGCAAGAGGAATGAAGTCAGCTGAAAATGTATTGCACTTTTCTAAGAAATTATCATCCTTATAATCAATTTGACATAATATTAAAAAAAAAAAAATTATTGGCTGTCTGTGATTGTGAGTAGGCTATTCTATCTGGATGCTCAGCTGGTGGATTAACAACAATTCTTCATTGTGATAACTTCAAGAGACTTTTTCCTAGGACCACCAAAGTAAAATGCCTTTCGGATGCCGGTTTTTTCATTGATACGTAGGTTTCATTTGGATCTAAAACCTTACAACATTTGCTATTTGTTTTCAAGTTAAGAATCGAAAGAACTTTTTGTTACTCTGTTCACGTTTGTGCTAATGTTTTTTATCGAACAGGAAGGACGTTTCTGGAGTACCCCATATCGAGACCTTCTTTCACGATATAGTCACAACTCATGTAAACAAAAAGCTATTTATCTATCTAATCATTTATTTATTTTATTTTTTCCTACATTTGTAACTTATTTGATGCCAGGGGTCAGCAAAGCATTTGCCCCCATCATGCACCTCACAAATGAGATCGAGTCTGGTAAAGAAAAATTCTTCATAAAAGCCATAGCATTTTTGTATTTCCGTTGCAACAACACAACTTAGCTAATTAAGTACAAAAATTGCAGTGCTTATTTCCACAAAACGTGGCGAAATATATCGAGACGCCCCTTTTCATTTTAAACGCGGCCTATGACTCATGGCAGGTTAGTCAGCAGAACACATCAGATCAAACATACATTAAGGGCTCTACATTTACGTACTTTAGTTACTAAAAGTGTTAAAATGCCTGATTAATTGTTCATTCACCGTGCCAATTTAACCAGATAAAGAATATTTTAGCTCCCGTTCCTGCTGACCCTCGCGGGTTCTGGCTCAGCTGCAAGATGGATATTGCAAACTGTTCTGCCAGTCAACTCAAAACCATGCAAGGTTTTACCTTTAAGAATATCTGCTTAAGATATATAAGTATACGAGTCGAACTAAGTTGGTGTATTTTTATTATTATTATGATTTTCAGGGTTCAGATTGAAGTTTCTGAAAGCATTGCATCAAATAGGAACCTCAACCTCAAGAGGATATTTTATAAACTCTTGCTATGCACACTGCCAAACTGAAATGCAAGAGACTTGGTTTTCTAGTGATTCTCCCAGATTAAATAACAAGGTCAAATATAAGTTCTTGTTGCTTGTCTAGTCGTTCTTTTTCTTCGATGTTTTGCTATTTTTATTTATTTATTTATTTATTTCTCTTTTCTAAATTTTGCAAATTTGTCTTGTTGATATTTTGATATACTACTTCTCATGCAGACAATTGCTGAAGCTGTTGGAGAATGGTTTTACGGCAAAAGCACGTTTCAGAAGGGAGATTGCGTTTTTCCTTGTGACAAAACTTGTCACAATCAAGTTTTCGAGCCATACGGATTGGATAAACGGTAGAGTTATCATAGCTTATTCGAATCATATACTATCATAGATAGATAAAATATACAAAGATATTGCACAAAATGATTTTAAACGAGAATAAGAAGGGGGTATAAGTGACATTCTTGAATCATTGTAGTATATAATGAACAATATTCATTGATTTGGTGAACACATCATTCATTGTACATCATATTGAGAATAATATTGTCATGTTTCAATCCATTTTTTTCAATAGTAATTTTTTTTTTATCTGAATAATTTTTTTTTTTAATTATTTATTTTTTATTTTTTATTTTGGCAATGATCATCAAAATCTGTCATTAGCTAGATGACATTCAATTGGATAATCTGATTGTGTGTCAATCATTTTGACAATACTCCGATCAAAGAACCAATCGCCGACGGCCTGTGCAACGTTCTGCAAAATATAATCGAATAAAATATATATATATATATTATATATAAATATATATGCTTAGAAATGATAGTAAATAAAAAAAATACTGCAACATATAATAAAATATATTTACCTTATTTTCCAACTTTGGTGACCTATCTGAATTCCATCTATCATTTGCCCAAAGGAAATCATGAATGTAGCAAGAGTTTATAAACAATCCTCTTGATGGTGAATCACTAATATCTTCCACTGCCTTGAGGAATGCATTCTTAAAATCTGAAATTAAATTAAAAAAAAATACTCATATTAATTAAGGTATTTAAACAGTTAATCTTATAATTAATGATCAAATATCAATAATTATATTAATTATTAATTTTTGCGTACCCTTTATGACATGAATATGACGAGGCGTGCAAGTTTGTGTCTCATTTGTGCAACTCGCCCAGCCAGCCTCGTCCCCAGGATAAGGCTTCAAGGTTTTAGCTATCTGAGGATAATATTTGTGGGATATGCAACTATTCCGTTACGGAACCATTCTGTCAGGGTTTGTAACCGTTAGATCATCATGTAACCGTCGGAGATAGGTGATCCAACGGTTACAAATCCCGACGGAATGATTTCGTAATGGGACCGTAACATTTCCCAATATTTGTAGTCAATTTTTTTTTAATATAATAATAAAAAATTACAAAATCTAAATATATTGTTCAGTGTTTTTATTGTATTTTTTTTTATTTTAAAAAGTTTTTACCTGATAATAATCAAAAGCAGAATTCAGCAGGAAGAGTGGGGTCTGAACACCTCCAACCAAATTCTCGGGGAAAAAACACTGTAATTTTTATTTAAATTAATTTTTTTCAGCCCAAAAAATAATTTCCAAAATAATTATTAATTAAAAAAATGGAAATTCGATTTTGTGCAGGAAAAAAAAAATATAAAAAAAATTAAATGTTTGAACACCAACTTACTAATTCGGTAGCCATTCTTGAGGTACAATATGATGGCAGAAACTTTGCGACTCCCTATATTTCATATTAAAAATTTCATGATTTTATTCACAATATTTTTAATTAATTAATTTATTTATTTATTTATTTATTTTTAAATACTTGCATGCATGATTAGTTTAAGGCAGAGAGCAATACATGAAGTTCAATTACGTCTTTATAATGCGATATTCTTTCATCGGCATTTGGGAGATCTTTTCTGCAGTACATAAAAAAAAAAGACATGGAAAATTATTTAAATTTTATTTAATGAACTAAATTTTCTGGTATGTATAAATAAAGAATAAAAAAAATTGAAATTGTTTCTTGAAAAAAAAAAAAAGAAAAGTTGTAACAATTTTTACGCTATGATGAAGAAACCGGAATCTGCAATGCATTTTGTTCGGGCACCGGTTGGTACCATTGCTCTAAACCGGTCGCAATTCAAAATAGTCGCTAGTCCTCCGGCCGAGTTACCGGTAAGTATAATCTGTAAATATATATTAATACCATCATCATTTTTTTATTTTTTTTTGTATATTATTATTATTTTGTTTGTGTGTGTGTAGTATATAACATAATATTAGCTTCTCATAAGAAATAATTATTTACTTTAAAAAATAGGCTTACATTTTCTGCATTTTTCATTCCCTTGGCTAGAATTTCTTCTACTACTGCACTAAAAATCCTTGAACCTCTATAGTGGAGGTTGGTTCCCTGAATATAATGCCAATATTGCATATAAAGTATTAAGAGTCATATTAGGGAGAAAAGTTTGGGATAATATATATAAATTCTGGATGATACCATAAGTCGAGCCTTATAATCTGAACTTACTAATTTTTCTTGTATAATAATCTCAAACCTTTCTTTGCTTAAATTAAGCTGCTCACCGGCTCAATTGCTTCGACATCACCGATAAACGACGAGCCATCGCAATATCGGACGTAAACTTTATTCCAGTTGTAAAAATCTAACAAAACAACAAGCAAAACAATATACATTGAATTGTTCATAAAAAATTAGCTTTAATGAAATGTCATAATATTTTTTAATTACTTAATTATATAATTGTCTATATTACTTACCAGGATTAATGATTTGATTTGGGCCTAATATCCCCGCAAATTCATGTGTTGTAATGTTAATGGTGCTCCCAATAGGTGTTAGTGCTCTCTCTTGGCAGTTTTCCTTTGAGCTGCACCATGCTCCTCCCTGCGCATTCAAATTTCCAAATGTTAATCAAATTTATATTTTATAGAAGGCTTTAAAATTCCCAAAAATTAAATGTATATATATGTGTGTGTATAATTATATATATGTGAGTGCGTGTACGCGCGCGTGTGCTATACTCATATACAATCTTCCAATATATAATTCTCTGTATTCAAATACAATCTCCGTTAAATATAATTTTCGAGGGCGTTGAACATAAGTGACATATTCACACACTTTGAAATCCTCTGTGGTAAAAATCATGTTTCGGAGTTAGACTTAGATACAAATCAATATCTTTTATACAAAAAAAAAAAAAGGCTTGAACTTCATAGTAATATATTATCTTATGAAGTAACATAAATTTATATATATTTACATACCATAAATAGGTATTTAATTGGAAAAAAAAAATATAACCTAAGTATGAACATCAAAGTAATATAAAAAAATTATAAGTTTATTATATCTCAACTTAAATAAATACTACATAGAGATTGAATATTATAATGATGATCTTGAAAAAACTGATCTCATAATTAAAATAATAAATATAATTATTATATTTCAAAAATTTAAAAATATTGCACCCATACACATTAAATTATTGAATATTATACAGTTGAAGATATTTTAAGAAATATTCGATGAGGGAATAAAACTGTATATATATATATATATATATATATATATATATATATATATATATGTGTGTGTGTGTGTGTGTGTGTGTGTGTGTGTATAATATAATATAATTACAATATAATCGAATTTGAAAAAACATAAATTAATTCAAAATTAAATTATTGAGTTGTAGATATGTGTGTTTATCATTTTGACAATTCTAGTATAAAACATGGGTATTATTTTAAATAATTATTTTTTTATTTATTTTAATTATTAGTTGCATATTTAATTTCTTATCATTCTATTATAAGAATATTAATTTTCTTGACTTCTTTATTTTGATACAAATATTTAATAGTCAAGCACCTATGTTGTTCAATGTGTTATATTAATTGGGAATAAATTAATTATTCTATTTTATTATAAAAAATAAAAGAATATATATTAAATAAAACAAGTGATACTTCGGACTAGCTAGAATTGGACTATTATTAAAAAATACATTTTTATTAATTATTTACAGTTTACTATTTCACAATGAGAATTTCATTTCTTTTCAGTTTTTGTTGCATAATTATTTTTTTATGAAACACATGAGTAGTTCAAGGGCATTGTATTGGTAATTTTATCAATGAATAATTGACATTTTTTTTATTGGAACACAAGAAAAATAAAGATGCACCGGAAGATAAATGAGCCAACTATTGGCGCCATCTCCAAATCCCTCAAAAAAGTGGTAACCTGCTGGGCTGCCATCTAAGCAAACTGCAATATAAATAAACAAATAAATTAATATATTAGAAAATAAATACATCTTCATTATTAAATAGCCAATATCACGAAAAGTGAACAAAAATATTGTTAGGGATGTCAATAAAACTCATAAGGTCGGATGAAGTTTTAACTCTAACCACAATTGGCTTTCAAAATTTGTACCGAATAATAATAATAATAATAATAATAATAATAATAATAATAATAATAATAATAATAATAATAATAATAATAATAATAATAATAATAATAATTAATGTGATTGAATTCTTCTTATATAACAATTTTTTGATCTCCTCATAAAGGACCTCTGTCGCATAAATCCACCATAAATTCTCCCATTTGACTCAATTCCATAAATACACAATCCTAGCCCCTCATGTCTTCTTTTAGCTCGACCTTAATCTGGTCGATTATTGCCTTGTCAGATATGGTCCTAAAATCCTTTTAACTCATGCATGGTCAAGCCTTTCGTGGGCCCTATGTCAACTTACTCATCAAAGACTTCCCCAGTTCGGGCATAGTCAGGTCATCCGTGGACCCTAGCTTGAGCTGTTTGTCCAAAACTTCCCCAGCTCGAGCATAGTTAGGTCGTCCGTGGATCATAGCTCGAGCTCGATACTTACCATTCAACCCTAAATCGACCCTCGAACCAATATCCCAAAATAAAGGCTTTCTATTAAATCCGAAGTGATAGCGAGCTATATCATCTAATCTCTCTTACTCTAAACGAGTTATGCATCGTCTAAGAGTGGATATGACGTTTTCCTAGGGGTCAAAACTTTAACAATTTGTTACACCAAAAGTCACCGAGTATCACCTCAACGTCTTAAAAAAGCGCGAAAAACCTTCTAATCTTTCTTCATTAATGCTCAGGCCAGATATGTCCATTCAAATTGATCTCATCGTATGGACCTCACAGACACGACCTTTCCGCCATCCCTATTTCTCTCTTTAAATATCACAACATTTTCATTTTTAGATTTTTATGCATTATTTCTATTACTTTCCTACTCTCGAGCTTTCTCAGATTTTTTGAAAAGTATCATTCAAACTCTTTTACTCCCCAAGCCTCACTTGAGCTCCACAATCTCCGACCAACCATGATTAATTATCATCCATAAATTTTTCATGCATACTCAATTATCAATAAATTTCACTCCATTTGTGCTTAGAATTTCATATTTACTCTAACTTTCCTTTCATTTTAGATTCTTCCTGCATCTCTAACTTCGTAAATAAAATGAGAAACCAATATCATAGCCGATCTTAATCTATAGTGATAATAAGGACTTTTATAACCCCAACCACTCAAACCAGACCTTAAACATGCCTCATCGACAAATCGGAAGGTGGGTCAACTGGGTCGAACTAACCATCAATCCAAATCATTCTTCTTCCCCCAACTCCCTCATTTTATTAATCTCAATAATTCTATCTATTTTTTACTTTCAACCAAATACTAACATTGTAACCCGTGGTGTATCTCCCTCCAAGAACCTCTATGCCCTTGTTGTAAAACTGGCCAAAATAAAGCCATTTGCCTTTGCCTTTGTCGAGGAGTTAAGAGACTATTAGAATCTATTCCGAGCTTCCTTTCAATAGGGAGCTCCAACCTCCTACTCTCCACGACTTAAATGAAAATTCTTATGAGGACCAATATACTTTTTCTTTTCTTGTCCATGTTCATTGTGATCTCTTATTCCGCTTCCAAGACGACCTAGCCTCCATGGATACCATGTACGACCTACTTATCAACCAATTCTCCCTCAATTCTATCCATCTCATTATTAACCTTTTCATCCTCAGCCACTGCCAGGTCAGGAGTTCAACCCTCTGTCTTTTCGTTACTACTACATCATCAAGATGTAGAAAGACGCTCCCTACCTGACATTTTATAACAATGCCAACTTTTTGCGAGACCTATCTACAACCTATCCTCTTGAAAAACTCGTTAATTCTCAATCTAGCCTCCTTCTAGTGACTTCTTCATGCTTACTCCTTGATCTATATGAACTCTATGCTCAACAATACAAACCAATGTCCAAGCTAGGGTGGGAATCCCTTATTTCCAAATGGAACAAAGTTTCTTATAGCGCTACCCTGCTCGCCATTATCCTTTCTATTTGTTGTCACTGCAGATTATTGTTTTCTAGTTTGTAATTGTGTGTTTCTTTCAGTGAAGTCTATCCTTCAAAAGAGAAAACCTATCCCATCACTAACCTAGGTGTTCAATCTTGTATTTCTTAAAGTAAATAATGTTCCCTACAATGTAATGTATTTATTATTGTAGAATCCATCTTTGTTTGCTTCAACTCCAAAGGCAAGGCCTCGTCCACCTCGATCTCTAGTTGAGGCGATTGAGCTCCTTCAGTTAGCTTGTTGAGTATCGCATATCCCAATAACCTCGCCAACCTGCACTGGGAGGTTAGAAGCTCCATCCCATAATGGAGCTTGGGGCTCCAAATGGGCACCTCTAACAGACGGCTCAGATCTTCTAAGAAGTAGGAGAACAACATTGTCGATTTAGAGTAGCCTGAGACTCTGGAATTCAACCAAGATTCCGAGGTGATCACCTTTTATTTGTTTCTCGTCCTCAAGGAGAGGGAGGTTAGCTGCTAGGATGATAAGTGCAAAGACCAGGTTGAATATGAAGCTACCGCCTTAGTGAAAATAAGTTCTCTTAGCTTAAAAGTGCTCCATATACCTTTTGTACCATGTCTTATCATATTTATTGAAATGTGAAGATCATTTTATTGTGATCCACAAGAGATTTATAAAAATATTTAATTTTCTATGAAGTGGTGAGGCAAGAAAAAATCCAACACGTATGTGCTCAGCTTGATGAGCAATGAAAGAGCACTGAGGTGATGAAAAAAAAGATCCAACAGGCCGTCCTGGATAAAATACAACAACGACAACAACAACAACAACAACAACAATAACAACGGCCATGATCGAGGGCCAAAACCGAGCTCGATACTACTTCCTGACCTCTTCTAGCTGGGTTCGTAAACTCCCATCAACTTCTGAGCAAGTTGAGCCCAACAACATACTAACACTTTATCCTCGCGCTGGACTGAGCTGAGGAGCAAGCTAAGACTTAGGAGTTTACCGGCTAGATCAACCTCTAGTGAACATTCCAATCTCGACGGCTGGAACTATGACGTATTTTTCTGGATGACCACCCTTAGAGGAGGCCCTCAAAAGGGCTGTGAGGTCAACAGATTTAGAAAAAAAAAAAACCTGCTCATTCCCCAAATAACTCTTGAGGTCGCTCCGACCCTTTGCTGCCGAGGTCGCATCCCAGGCTATTGCAAAGGTTGCTCTTTCTATGGTCTTGGATTTACATCAACTCATATTGCGGAGGTCGCCTTCTCACCTATTACCAAGGTGGCCATGGAGACAACTCACTCCAATCCCTTAGTTGCCTCTTAAGGGGTTGTTTCACTGTATTTTTCTTTCTTAAATTTATTTTTCCATCTTTTGTTGTCTTATGTAATCCAAATTTCTTTACTTAATTAAGTATCTTCCTAATGTTCTCCTTAAACTTCTGGCATAGTTCGGTACTATAAAATGTTCACAAACCATGAGAAAAAACTCAATTTCACTAACCCAACTTGAGATGATCAACATAGATATATCATACATTTCATCATTCCCCAAACGAGTTTCCAATACCTGTAACAATATTCTATTTGTAATCTCGACCTACCCATTAGTTGTGGGTGCACCACGGAGGAGAATTTACGTTTTATTTTCATCTCCGTACACCAAACTCTCATTTTCTTCCCATTGAATTGTGTTTCATTATTCAAGAGCAATATTTGAGGTACCAAACCCAAAGTAGATATCATTGAATAAAAAATGGATTACATTGTCCTCAGTTATCTTAGCTAAGACCTCTTCCTCCACCAACTTACTAAAATAATCCAAAACTATGTTCAAAAACTTCCTTTGTCAAGTCCCCTAAGCTAAAGGCCCCGCCAGGTTATTTCTCCATTGAGCAAATAGAATAGGCGATACCATGACTACCATCTCTTCTACCGGCAGGTGTGATACTCACAGGATCTCAGTATTTCCATACTCGTAGCTCGTACTTTCGACCAATAATATCCAGCTCGCATCTCTTTACCCACGATTGCCCTATATTAGTGATCTCTACAAAACCCCTTGTGCATCTACTTCAAGACATACTTGACTTTATCATATATTATACACCGCATATGCGGCCCGCGTACGATCTTTTATACAATTATGTTGTCTTGAATAAAGTACCTCATTAGATTTCTTGGTACCTACGCCATTTTCTTTCTATCTCTGGCGACCACCTTTTATTGTAGTCAATTTTTTTATAGGGGTCATTTAATATGGCTACTCATCGATCTCCATCACTAGGTCGATTCTACTTTTTTCCCCCTATTTAGAAACATGACTCCTCAACTCTTAGAGTCCACTAAAGAAGTGGTTATCTTAATAAGTATATCCGCCCTTGCATTTTTCTTTCAAGGTATTAATCAACTCAACATTATGAAATCCCTTTACTGCAGCTTGAACACCCTCTACATACCGTTTTATCCTTCTTCTTTGATATTTTACTGCCCATTTATCTATTCAACGTCCAATTTGAATCTAAGTATATCGAGACTGTTCTAGCTTACACTGGTTGCGAGTTATAACCATTTAGTAGACCTTCGTTGTTACTAGCTTTGTATCTTGGTTGAACAACATAATCCAAGTTATCACCCTTTGCGTGGCCATCAATATTCCCAGTCTAGCTCCTTCTATCATTGCAGATCTATCCACATAGACCATCAATCTCCATTCATCCTTCTTAGTAGATTTCAGAATGAAATCCACTAAAGTCTGCCTATTATTGCTCGGATGGGTTTGTATGTAATATAACATTATGAGTTCCATTGTCCATCGAACCATCCAACCTGACATAGAGGTTCCCTCTAATGTATCCCCAATGCCAAGTTAGTGCGTACCACAATGGTATGAGCTAAACAATATGGCGTAATTTTTGAGCCATTATTACTACTTCTAAGGCACCCTTATATACCTCTGAGTACCATTTCTCAGCTCCTTGCAACAACTTGCTCATATAGTAGTTGGTTCGCTGATGACCTAAAAACTTTTTTTCGAGTACCATGTTGTATTTTAATATTTTTTTTCCATTTGTCTTCTAGACAAGGGCTGAACTTTCCCAACGATCCTCTCGAGCATTCTCCCTTTCTATCCTTCCTAGGAAAGTAGCATCGCCTATCTTTTCGTTCTTCATTCATACTTTCGACCTTATCTTTTCAAGTTGTAAAAATCTTCTTGAGTTTTTTCATATTAATGTCCTTAGCGCGTCTCTCCAAAACCTCATTGTTGTTTTGCTAGGGTGGTTCAACCAACAAATTTTGATATGGTCTAACTAATAATCCTCATGCCTTAATGTATATTAAGCACTTGGCACGTCAACATAGGCTCATTTGTATTAAGCTACGTGTTCCTTCATTGACTCCTCATCTTTCTACTGCATGGAAAAATTCTGGTATGTTTTCTTACGCGCTCTAGCACTCGCAAACAAGTTAGTGAAAATCAAGATGAATCAAACTTATACACAAATCCCACAAGAACCTGATGGAACCATTAATGTGCAGGTCCTCGTAGAGTAGCTATACAGGCTCTGTAATAAACTAAATCGGTATATCTCTATAGAATGGCCATGTTCCCAAAACTCCGGATATATTTTGCTAGGTTAGTGAACCCATCATGCACTAGGTGGAGTTTGTAAAACCCTAAGAGAAAATATGCCTTCAATATCTCGAGAGAGAAAGGGTGACCTCTATTTTATAAAATGTGTGTTGAATTACAATGGTTAAACCTATGAATTGAATTTATATATTTAAGTTCTTACAAAAATTGAAAAGTACAAGAAAACTTGAAATCGAAAAGACAATAAGTCGAGGTAAGAGTTGTTATTATCGCAAGATGAATACTCTTCGTAATGTGCTGATGGATTCAAGAATCTCGTCTCCAAAGATACAACAACTACATCTCAGAAGGTGTTGCACTTCAAAGTCTAAGCTCCGGCGAACTTGAACAGACTTGAGAAGAAAAAACTGTATGTATGATGCATGAGGCTTTTCAAAGTAACAAATATACATATGATGTTATGTGTGTTTCTTCTACAACTCTAGCATCCTATTTATAGGACTTCCAACTAGGTATAGGATACGTCCGATCATCAGCCAATTAAGACAGGTAAGAACCCACTATGGGTTGTTGTAATGGACAAGAAAAGGTCAGGTGTCAAGCACACTGTTTCATGTTTTAACACACCAGTACCCTGCCTGATAACCTTTTAAAACAAACAGATGGAGTAAACAAGTCCGGATACATTATATCTGAAAAGGTCCACGGTAGTTTGGTCAAAACCTGAGTCTAAAACCAACTCACTTTAGATTATATTTTGGGCCACAATTTCACAAATAAATTTGCAGCAGAAAAATTATTGGGGTTAGGCCAAAGGCCAAAGCCCAACACCATCCCAAACCACAGTCTAATTGTCAATGTCATAGATCCAAGGCCCAGGCCTAGGTCCAGGCACGTGCCCGTACCCGAGCCAGCAGGATGGTGAGTGTCGCGCGTGTGGGCGAGGCCAACACCATCACTTGGTACACAACTTTAACTTTGTTGTTGTTTTGATCTCTCACTCTCTTTATTATAATAAAGAGTGTTATCCTCATTTAAAAGTCTAATATGAGATATAACTCTTAACCCTTCGAATTCCACAATCAATTTTTTCGTGCCCATTAATGACTATCTTTAATATTTTATTTCTCACTCATCGAAAATCAATTTTGAAAAAAATAAATATACCGCGAGTATCTACTCGGAAGTAGAATATTTCTACACAATTTAATTCAATACGAATTAAGTATTTTGCTATAAAGAAAAAGTTAAATTAGGTCAAAATCAAATTTATTTAACCAATTTTCTAACACTCTTTGGCTTGGTACCCTTCCCCCTTTCATTCTTTCTTGTAGCTCTTTGACCACGCCGCAAACTTCTCCATAACATCCAACCGTGCAGGTGGCGACTCACCAGCTCTGTTAGTGGACGAGACCTTGACTTTCTTCCTTCTCTCATTTTCCACTGATTTCGAAGCCTGTGGCTGGGCTTGTTAGACTGCCTTGGCTACCATCCTATCCAGTTCTGCTTGGGTGACTTGCAACATCTGATCTCCTGCTCGCCCTCCTGAACAACATGTATGTTATCTCATACCTCTTCTTGCGGGTCGAGTTGTTTGGCATGAGGATAAGTTATATGTTTGGCTCTTCTTCCTCATGCCCGCTACTCGAAGTAGCTGGTGTTGGAAATAAAACCAAATGGTGGTCCTTCTCCTAGTCACTTGGTATAACCCACTTCTGGAAATCACATTCGAAGTTTCGCTTCGTCTTATCGTTGTCAGCATATCGAGCCTTTGTGAGTTGGGGGATCTAATAAATCTTTATATTGAGAAGAC